GGTCACTGCGAAGGCTGCAGCAGTCTGGCATCGAGCTTCCTGAGACAGAGCTGAGTCTTAGAGTAGGGAAGGATCAGAGGAGGAGTAACGAGGAATTGCTAGTGTCGACCTCCTGTAAGGAACCGGAGCAGGAGCCAGTGCCAGCACAGTTCCAGAAAGTAAAGGCCGCAAAGACTAATCATAAACGAGGAAGGAAGTAGGCAGGCAGTGTGAAAGCTCCTAAGAGAGCAGACGTGATGCCGTTGTCATGGGGCCTGTGCTGGGAGGACTGAGTCACGGGGCCTGAGTGAGGAGGAATGCACTCTCTCAGCTCTTTGCGTAAGGCTGTGACTTTCTCAGCTCCTTCCTCCTGTGTAAATTTCACTGTTCTCCCTATTTATTCACTTTGACTCACCCCCACCCTCACCCCCTTTTTGGTAGGTTTTCCTACTATTCCTCATTGGAGTCCTCTTGTTTTTCTCTGATCTTGCCCAAAGAGTTCCCTCTTAAGGCCAACTGTGGGCCCCTCTTGCCCTGTACAAAACTGAGAAATCTGTTTGGTTGTCCTTTTCCTTCTGGGGCTGTAGAATGTTCTTGGAAGCTCCATTGATTTAGTAGTCATTCCACCATCTCGCTTATAAAACAATTCCAAATTAATTTTTTAAAACCATACTGATTAATCATTCTGTATTTGTGATATAACAATCCTAGAAGCTAGAACTGTTGTCACTCATGTAATAAGCTTATCTTGTTGTCTTGGGAAGCAGATTTTATGGAGGCTGTTTGTTCTCTCAATATGGTTTTAGGGTTGGAAGTAAGCAAATGGATGTAGGATGAAAAAGCTAGAACCTCACTACACTGATTTTACTGGGAAATGTTTTGTTTATCCCATGTAGCAGAGACTGACTAGACCCACAGGCATGAAAAGCAGCCCAGACTTTAAAATGTTGCAAACATTAAAATGATTGGAAAGAAGGAAGTAGAAGAAGCAATAAATACTGCCTCATCTTTCCCGGGGCTTGAGGCCTCATCGGTTGCTATGATCAGTGCCCTCCTAAAGCTTGTTTTCTCCCCCAGTTTTAAGGATTGAGAAATACCACATTGCACTTGATGTTTTGACACCGAATCCTAGTGTTCCTGGTGATGCCACTAAGATTGGTAGCCCAGCTACACACTCCTTCTCCCCTGACTTGACCTTACCTGTTAGTCTATGCCGTGCTAAGTCTTTATTCTCCCTTTAGCCATCCTCTGTCTCTTGGAATTTTCTGAGAATATTGTCCTCTATCCTCTTTTATATGTGGAGTTCTATCCTCTTTGTATCTTGAGACTTTGTCACCAGATGTAGATATTTATCTGGAGTTGGAAAGAAAAATTCCTTTTCTGTACCTCATGCCAGCTGCTAATGTCTAGTGGGCTACTTCTCTTTGAGGCTGGCTTTCTCTGGAACATTGTTTAGAGCAGCTCTGTTGTTGTGTTTCCAGATTCTCTTCCCCTTTTCCGTAAATATTGGTCTTATATATTCTTGCCAATTTTTGTGGCATATGCCACATGAAAAGCAAGGGCCCTTAACCCCGATATGGATAAATACTACCTTTTCAAATTCTGAAAGGCTGTTACTACTGTTTAACTCTGTATTCTGTGCTGCTCCACATAGCTTTAAAATGTGGGCTTTTGTGAAGACCACTTTCGAACAAGGGAGCAATGAAACCAGATTTGGATACTGCCAGAATAGATAGTTGTAAAACAAGTGAAGGACATGGTAATGTCCACTCTACATTTTCATTGGCAGTTGCACTCTTAAAACCGTTTCGGTAGATGAGGATTGTCAGGGAGGAGAAATGAAGAAGCTATATTAATTTCTGGTGAGTAAGACTTGGGGAATGTTGGGCAATGACAAAAGAAATAAATGACTGTCGGTTAGAATGATGTTTCCGGTTCATTGACTCCAACCTACTTGACTCCTTGCTGACACAGTGTATGGGGGTAAGATGACGGCTGGACATGGGAGTGGGTTTGAAATAAGTTCCAAATTCAGTGTCTTGGTAGTTCTTTAGCTCCTGAAGTCTGCTGGCTAATGAGTAAATTTTGAGATCAAAGTGAATTAGTATAGGAAACTTATCCAGTCTCATCCAGGGCCCTTGCAGGCACTTTAAAAATGTTTCCTTCCTGAGGCCAGGTCTCAGCAGGACTATCCTAATCATACTATTGAGTTTTCAAGTTTTTTTAGACAAAATTCATTAGAATAACAATTTGACAATATCAGATATAGCCAGGTTGTGGGAAATGTGAACTCTTATGCACGGTTTGGAATGTAAATTGGTACAGTTGCTTGGAAACAATTTGGCAGTATCTAGTAAAGCTGAAAATATGCCCCTAAGTAAGACTCCACAGTTTTACTCCTGGGTGTATACAGAGAAAATTCTCTTGCCTGGGTGTATCAGGAGACATAAACAAGAATGATACTACGGTATGGTTTACAACATGTAGCTGAGTCTACCAGCTGTCTGCCAAAATCCGCTCTCGCCTTGGAGACCTCTCGGATTATAGGACACATGGCTAGATTCTGTTCCCAGGCCTCCAGTCCCCTGCCGCTGTAGTGAAGGGGTAGCCAACTAACTTGTCTCCAGTAGAATGTGAGTGGAAGTGATGTGTGACACCTCCAGAGTAGAGGTTTTAAGAAAGTAAGGTTGCCTCTGTGTTTGCTTTTCCCTTCATTGGGCCATATGCAGATAACAAAATGGCTTTAGGGGGTGGTAGAGCACAAAATGGAAAATGGTTGGTGCCCTGAATCACCCCATAAAGGACTAATTGGTAGCCAAGAACATCTGAGACTAATTAAAGAGAAAAAAGAAACCCTGTTATTTGAGACATTATACACACTTGGGTCTCTTTATTAGCCTACTCTAATACATAATCTAATTGTCTATCATCAGAAGAGGTAAATACAGTGGAATACTATATAACTATAAAATTAACTAGGGCTTGTATCATGAATAAATCTTAAAAATAATGTCTGGGAAAGCAGGTTACACAATACATCAAGGGTACCATTTATATAAGGTTTGAAAACATGTAAAAACAATATTCTATATTGTTTATGGATATATATTTATACATTTATAGTTTAACATAAATATATACATAGCATGAAAACATGCACAGAAATGATAAAACACCAAACTTAGGACAGTGCTTCTGGGATTCAGAGGGACTACAAGTGAACTTATGAATTCCTACTTCTTAAGGTGGATAGTGAGCTTGTCATAGTTTTCTGTGTTGTGTGTCTGAAATACTTCATTTTATGTTTTTTTGAAAGACTTCATTTTAAAAGTCAGCCCTCACAAATTACTGCTCACCTCCTTATAAAAGGGATCACTTTAGAAATTTTACTTTTGCTTCATTCTTTTTTTTAAATGTTTGAGAGAGAGGAAGCACAAGTGTGCAGGGGACGGGTAGAGAGAGGGAGAGAGAGAATCCCAACCAGGCTCCATGCCCAGCACAGATCCCAGACTGAGAGTTCATGACCTGAGCCAAAATCAGGAGTCAGATGCTTAACTGACTGAGCCGCCCAGGTGCCCCACTTGTGCTTCATTCTTAACCTTTCATTTTCCTCTCCCCTTTAGCCTGCTCTTACTTGTGTCTCCTGTTCACTTTCTATTTCAACCACCCCAGTTCAAACCATCACCTCTTGCCTAGACTACAATAACTTCCTGATTGTTTCCTTCTGATTTTTACTGGCTTGTATACACTTCCCAGAACACCTGTAGTGAGTTTTTAAAATTGTAAATCAGATGTCATTCATGGGCTAAAAGCCTGATAATTTCCCAGTGCACTTAGAATTCAAGCCACCCCCTTTCCTTGTCCCACTACTGCTCCCACTACTAACCCTTAGCCTCCCCTCCCTCCCCTCCACCTAAGTTCTCTGACCACCTCCCAACTACACCTGAGCCACACTGACCTTTCTTTTCCTGGAACCTGTGAAGCTCCATTCCTATTTTGGGGCCTTTGCATTCAGTGTTCCAGTTGCCTGAAAGGCTTCTTCCCTGGTTTTTGTCCAGTAGACTTCACTGTATCATTTAAGTCTTAACCCACATTTCCCCTTGGAGGTCTTTTCCATTTATACACCTTCTGTAACATAACTCTGTTTAATTTTCTTAAGAGCAAAGCAGACAAAAAGTAGATTGAGATAGTACCTGGCCAACCTACTGCTCACTTGCAGGTATGGATTTCAAAATCGCTTTATCAGATGATTCACCCTCGAAAGTCTTCAAGGCCTTGAGGCCTCACTCTGAAAGGGCCAGCCATAAACCAGTACACCAGATCCATTATCTGGGATGATCATAGGAATTAAAAATAAACATAGGAGATGGCAGTTACAGTAAAGGCAGGAGGGAGATTAAAAGCAGAATAAGATTGTAGATTACTCCTACTTACCAACTCCTTATCAGGTTTAGTATATATTTTCCCATGCTTTTTTGCATCCACAGAAAATAGGGCTTCAAGTTTGTCTTGGTTACCATTTCAAGTTCAGTCTTTCTGTATTTTCAGCTTAAGAACTTAAGTATTCAGGTTGAGGAACCTGCATACTACCTAAAATTTTACTCCTCTGCATTGAAATTGTGGTTTTCTTATGTGCACACTTGTAAGAATGAGTTGCAGAAGCAGGAGTGATGGAGTAGAAATGTTACATTGGAAAAATAAAAAATCAACAGATACATTATATTTTATTAAAAATTTTTTTTTAATGTTTTATTTATTTCTAGGAGAGAGAGAGAGAGAGACAGCGTGAGCAGGGGAGGGTCAGAAAGAGAGGGAGTCACAGACTGAAACAGGCTCCAGGCTCTGAGCTGGCAGTCAGCACAGAGCCCGACGCGGGGCTCGAACCCATGAACCGCGAGATCATGACTTAAGCGAAAGTCGGATGCTTAACCGACTAAGCCACCCAGGCGCCCCCATTATATTTTATTTTTAATAACAAAATACACATTTAACAAAACTGTTAAAGCTAGAAGTAAAAGGCATTGAGGGAGAAAAAAATTTTTAATCAATTTTAAAGATTCATTTTACATAGGAATAAAACAAAATTCATGAAAATTATTTGTAGTTTCTTATCACTGGCAATTTCTGGAACACAAAGTTGGATTACATTTCCCCATAGAAGAGTGATGTTAAAACATGGGGTTATATTCCTGTACTAGGATTTAGCATTCAAATAAATGACTAGTCTAATCATCAATATGTCATAAGTGCAAACAATTTTTATTACATTTTTTTAGTGCAAAAATTTTTTAAAAACTAAACGTCTATACTAATTAAAAATCTTATTTCCAGTTCTTCTAAATAGACAGAAATATAAGGCACATATTAATTACAAAAGGCATTTCATGTTCTATCAAGTGCACAGTTAGAAAATGTAGTTAAGTGACCTAAAACTGAAGTACTTATTATATTTAACATTAAACGATCTTGTTATCTTAGAATTTAGAATGTTAGGGAAATAGATGGCACAAGACTCTTTAAAAAAGTCCAAATATTTTAACACTTTTTTGATATATTTTCCTAAAACAAGCAGAGGCATTCAGTCACCTCATTAATGCTAGAGGCATTTCTTTACAGAAGATTGTCAAAAGTAGGCGTTGACCAAATATTCATCCCCTTTCTGCTCTTCCTTTCTCAATTTACTCAGTTGAGGGGTGGAGCATCAGACAAAAGATCCTCCTGCCTAGTGCTTTCTTTTCTTCCTAACTCTTCCCGAACTTGCAGTTTAGTAAGATTACTTTTTCACTCTTGACAAAACTAGAGAAGGACGTGCCTGGCCACTGGTGTGAACTTGAAAAAGAGCTTTAAAAAACACTTTGCCTTTGTGTGGAGCTGGTCAAGAGGCAGGATAATTGGTTTACAGAGCAGAAGGCACTACATAAAGTCAATCTGAAATTGTTCTTAAAGGTGTTTTTTACATAAAGAAATCTAGTTTAGCTAGATGAAATAAGTCACACAACTGTTTTCATTTCCTCAAGGTGGTTTCCTTGAGCTAGTTTGAAGTACAGGTGTTTAGGAAATGGTATTGGGTTATCTGGAGATTTGAGGAACATCCTGGTTATCAACAAGATCAATTAAAGGAAAACCTAAATATCCAGCAGTACTGCTGGAAGAAAAGCACCTAATCTTTCACACTAACACATCACGATGGGTGTTTTACCATAGCAGTCTGAGATCCCAAAGCCTTTGGAACCAGGTTTATACAGCACGTGAGAATTCTTGCTCCAGTGCTTATATAATCGGTTATTTTGGGAAGTGCTTTGGATTAATACTTGATTTGGTACTTAGGAGAGGTGTTATGGAGCACCTCTGGAGCATCCAATCCTGGGCACGGGTTATGCCTTTTCTGCAGTCGGTTCCTCCCCCGGACTAAGGACTCCACGTACCACTGTTCTTGCTGCAGGTGCTGCTTCTGATTTATGAGCTGGCCCTTAGTGGCCTGCAGCTCCTGGCACTGCTGGGCCTGCTGCTCTAATTCCTTCTTTAACTGCCGGTTCTCTCTCCTGACGTCACGGTAGAACTCAAAAGTATACTGCCTTGCTTCCGACTGCAAGGCATGGGCCCTCCTTACGAGCTCCTGTCTTTTCCTCTTTCCCAACTGCTTCCGGTCTGACTCACTCAGCTGTTTGTCCAGTAATGCTTTTTCCTGGACCAACTGGACCTGTATTTCCCATTTCTTTGCATCTATCTCAGCTTGGGCTTCCTTTTTCTTGTCCTCTAATACCTGCATTTCTCTCTCCTGTTTCTCCTTTACTAGGGAAACACCCCTGAGTGCCTGCAACTGCTGTTTTAAATTGGATTGGAGGTTTTCCTTCTGCAAGAGCTCCTCTTTATACCCTGAGGTTTGTTTTGCATATTTGGAGGCTAATTCTTGTCTCCTTTGTGCAAGCTCTTCCCTTTTTTGTAAATACTGGTTCCATAGCTCTTCAGGCTGTCTTCTATACTTCTCAGTTTCGTTGTTTAGGTAGTCCAGAAAGAACTGGTTTTCAGTTTGGACAAGTAACTTTTCATTGTATAGCTCTTTGGTTTCCTGCATTAGTGATTCTTGCCGCATTTGAGCTTGTTTTGCTCGGCTGTTCAGCTTCCTCAGCTCCCTCATTGCCTTTTCTTTAAACTTCGTCTCTGACTTTGTTAGCGTCTGTCGCTCGAAAATTGCATTTAGGAAATTAAGATACAGGTCAGTGGAACTCTCAGATTCCTTGGCAAACCTGAAGAAAGAACAAGTGAGGCATTCTCCTATCAATTCTTAATGAAAATTCAGGAAACACAAAACGCACAATTGTACCTGAATTCATACAAGAAACTATTCTTGAGTACCTATTATGTTCCTAACACTATGCATAGCACGAGGGATAAAGTTAACGGTAAAGGTAAATGAGTGTAGTTTACAATTTAATACAGTCACTACAATCCTGTGTGGTGTTACTTCCATTTAAATTTTTTTTTAACGTTTTATTTATTTCTAGAAGAGAGAGAGAGAGAGAGAGAGACAGCGTGAGCAGGGGAGGGTCAGAGAGAGAGGGAGTCACAGACTGAAACAGGCTCCAGGCTCTGAGCTGGCAGTCAGCGCAGAGCCCGACGCGGGGCTCGAACCCACGATCCGCGAGATCATGACCTAAGCGAAAGTCGGACGCTTAACCGACTAAGCCACCCAGGCGCTCCAGTGTTACTTCCATTTTAAAGAGAAAACCGGTTCGGAGAATTTCAATGACATGGGTACGATTTACACCGTCGGCAAGGGGCAGAGCGTGGGTGTGAAACCCAATCTTGGGAGTTACTGAACACTACAGCAGCTGCAAAGGGCCACAGGCACATTTGGGGGTGGTCGGGAGTAACTGATTTCCAGGCTTTTCCACCACCTTTCTGGTTTCATGGACACTTCCGTCGAAGGAAGCGCCCCTTCAGTACCTACTTGCTCTGGGAATCCAAGGGTTCATCTCCAAGGTCCTCGTATTGTTCACACAGGCTCCCTGTCAAGGAGAGAGCGCTAGTGTCACGGTGCTGCGCCACGCGGAAATGGCGTCCCCTTGCGGAAGGTTTTCTCAGTTTCTCCGTTCTGTGCTCCTTGTGTCTTGGCGCTGCCCAGCAACCCCGCGGGTCGCACCTCACCCCAGCCCTGGCCGGTCCAGCCTGGATCGGCTGAACCTCGCGGGCTGCCGAATAAGTCCTAGCTGCCGGTTCCCTGGCGGCTCTGTTCCCCGTTTCTTGGGGGGCTAAAGAGAAACGCACTTTCTTCATTTTCGAACTCTGGGGGCAGCGCTGTGGGGACCTCATCTCGGGTCGCCTTGGGCGCAAGTACTCTGCTCTTAGGCCCTCCCCAACAACGGCGAGTGCCTCTTTTCTTGGCCACCTCCAACCATCCTCCCAGCCCCTGGTGTCCCCTCTACTGGCCCAAATTGGTTGCCAGCCTAGTTGGGAGGCAAGAAATCGCACACGCCCGGTCCACCCCATCGCCTCTCCCTTTCGCGCTGGTTGAGCTCTACCCTCTATCTCGGCCTCTTGCGTCACAGAAGCCTTTCTAGGCACGCAGCGGCTCTATGGTAGAGTGGGCGGAGCCAGGAGAAAGATGGCGGAGTCCGTAGGCGAAGCTGAGTCGCGGGCTTCCGGGGCTCCTCGGCCCCCGGTGTGTCTGTTGGTGTTGGGAATGGCGGGATCTGGGAAAACCACTTTTGTACAGGTAACGTAGAGGGCGCGGGCGTAGTAGGTGCGCGCGCGAGGTGGCAGGCGAAAGGCCTGGGAGAACGGGAGGAAGGACTCAGGGGAGTTGGAAGGGACTCGCGTGTGGCTTTCGAGAACTCGCCAGCAACTCCGGTTCCTTCCTAGGCTGGCCTTTTCGGACTCTAGTCTGGTTTAATTAGGGCTAGGGCTCTCTCTTGCGCACTCTCAGTTCGTGTTTGGTAACTTAACCACGTTCTGGAATTGTTTTACCGACAAAGTTGCCAGCTCCTCGAAGACAGTCTTACGAGTAACTGGCTACTAATACAGTGTCAGGCCACGGGCTTTTGGTGTAGATTGTTAAAGAATTATTTCTTGCACAGCTGTCATGTTTCAACCACTGAGGACACAGAGAAATTGACATTACATGGTTCTCCGCTTTTTGGAGCTAATGTTTTAATGGGAGTGCTAGAAAAAAACCCACACAACTCAAGCAGATAAGTGATCGAGAGTAGGGGGAGGCTGTGTTAGGTGGGTGATAAGGAAAAGGTAGCATTTCATCTGAATTGAATGTTGGAGGTGGATATTGAGGGCAAATACTTAAGGTACTGAGAAAAGTAAGTGCAGAAGCCTTCAGGTATGATTGATAAGGGAATGGAAGTTCTCTCTTGGCCCCTATAATTCCCTCTTTGTTTCACTACGTCCCTCTCCCCATACCTCTGCAGAGGCTTACCGGACATCTGCATAGCCAAGGCTCTCCACCCTATGTGATTAATCTGGACCCAGCTGTACATGAAGTGCCCTTTCCTGCCAATATTGGTGAGTAGACTGTACCAGAACTGTGTGAAGTCCCTCAGAAAATGGCAAGCTTCCAGCTTGCCAGTCTTCAATGTTTTCATTTTTCAAAACTGTCTACTTTCATTTTACGTGAATTTGCTAGAATCTCTAAACAAGTCTTCTCCCTTAATCACAGTTTTTTATTTGCTCCTTTCCCTAACTAAATATGCTTCCTTTTCACTGTTATCTCTCCCCCCTTTCTGACCCTAGGGTGTCCGACTGTTGTTACTTGGGATAGTGAAATGATAAAGTCAGCCCTCTCCCTTCCAGATCATAAGACCTTCAGTAGGCTCTAAAACATAAACCTGTTTTATTTAGTTTCTTTTCTCAAAAGTTTAGAGTGTAAGGGTTCTTGTGTGGTAGTTCACTTACTGATCTATAGGAACCTTTCTTCCTCTCCCAGCATTACATGGGAATATGTATATATATGCATTATTTTGGAGGGGGGTTTCCAATTATCATGAGGCTTCAGAGGAGTCTGTGGCTAAAGAGTAGATATGATTCAGTGTCATAATTCTTTTTTTTTTTTTTTTTTTTTTTATTTTTTTCTAGGAGAGAGAGAGAGACAGCATGAGCAGGGGAGGATCAGAGAGAGAGGGAGACACAGACACTGAAACAGGCTCTAGGCTCTGAGCTGGCAGTCAGCACAGAGCCCGACGCGGGGCTCGAACCCACGAACCGCAAGATCATGACCTAAGCGAAAGTCGGATGCTTAACCGACTAAGCCACCCAGGCGCCCCTCTTTTTTTTTTTTTTAAATAGTTTATTGTCAAGTTGGTTTCCATATAACACCCAGTGCTCATCCCAACAAGTGCCCATCTCCCCCCTTCCCCCCACCCCCATCAGCCCTCAGTTTGTTCTCAGCATTCAAGAGTCTCTCATGATTTGCCTCCCTCCCTCTCCCCAACTACTTTTCCCCTTCTTCTCCCCCATGGTCCTCCGTTAAGTTCCTCCTAATCCTCCTATACATGCAGACATATCAGAGTCATAATTCTTGATGCGATCTGTGGGTCTCCTGATTTCTAGGCTGTCACTGTGCTAATCTTCTCCCTCCTTGTTAAGCTGCTGGTACTCCAGTTATACTAATAAAGGAAAACCTTGTTTAAGAAGCAGAGATCATTTTGGAAAGAGTTGGGGAAAAAACTGACATCTTCTCACTTAAAGGATGGACTTCTATCTGTTGACAGATGAATGGATCAACAAGATATAGCATATATATACCATGGAAAATGACTCAACCATAAAATAGAATGAGATCTTACCATTTGTGACAACATGGATGGATCTAGAGGGTGTTATGTTAAGTGAGGTAAATCAAGACAGAGAAAGACAAATGCCTTATGATTTCACTTATATGTGGAATCTAAAAAAGCAAAACAAAGGAACAAACAAAACAAGGCAGCAACAGACTCACAGATACAGGAAACAAGCTCTTGGTTACCAGAATGGAGAGGAGTTAGGAGGTGAGTGAAATAGGTGAAGAGGATTAAGAGGTACAAATGTCCAGTTACGTAGTCATGGGGATATAATATATACCATAATATAATAACTTTGTATGGTGACAGATGGTAACTGGACTTATTGTGGAGATCATTTTGAAATATGTAAAAATATCTAATTATGATGTAAACCTGAAACTTAGATACTCTATGTCAATTATACTTAAATTTTAAAAAAGATGGAATTCTAATATTTGGTGGGGTCTATAGGCTGATAGATAGGTTTAGTTAGACATTACAGGATGCGTTAATTTTGCCTTTGAAAAATCATGTCTGCATTACCCTGTTACTAGTAGGCAGTAAGAAATAAACTTTTTCTTAATTTAGGTCCCTTATTCTCTCTCTCTCTCTCTTTTTTTTTTTTTTTTAAACTTTTAATTCCAGTATAGTTAAAATATGTTATATTAGTTTCAGGTGTACAATATAGTGATTCAACAATTTCATATTTTTTTTAGCTCTTTTTTTCTATGCATATGGTCACTGATAAAGTATTTTAGTTGTACAAAACTTTTTTCCTTATCTCAGACCATGTCTACCTTAATTTCCGAGCTCCCTGGCTTACATTTTTCATGGGTGACTTGCCAATTATCTTTTTTTTTTTTTTTTTTTATTTGAGAGAGAGAGAGAGAGAGAAGCGGAGGGACAGAGAGAAAGGGAGACACAGAATCTAAAGCAGGCTCCAGGCTCTGAGCTGTCAGCACAGAGCCGGATGTGGGCTTGAACTCATGAACCGTGAGATCGTGACTTGAGCCGAAGTCAGTCGCTTAACTGACTGAGCCACCCAGGCGCCGCTTGCCAGTTATCCTTTGTAAGGAAGGAAAGCAGTGTGAAGCAGGAGGACTTAGTAGAAGAGAACGCAGACAAGAGGAGGCTGAAAACCTGCTTCAGCTTCTTGCTGGTAGAGAAGGTACTTGCAGGACACCTTCTGCCTTTCTGTTCTCTCACAATCTTGCTTTTTTCCCTATCATAGTTCCTTGACCTTAGCTTAAAAATTTAAAAAACAGATATGAAAAGTAACTGAGATACCAAGAGAGAAATTTACTTTTTCTCCTCAAAGGAGGCAGAGATGACATGAGAGCCCTATTGGTTGAGGCTATTATAGGTGGTCAGTCTCAAACTTACTGTTTCTTATGTGTTAAATTCCAGTGAATTCTTTTTTTCCCTCCCAGATATTCGTGACACTGTCAAGTATAAAGAAGTCATGAAACAGTATCCTTTTCTGCGTTTGCTTACTGTGTTGACTCATCCCTGGATAGTTACTGTCTATATTTTGTGGCTTTGAGTGAGTGTGTTTACATTTCTATGTAAAACAGTACTAGCAAAAGCGTTTAATTGCTTTAAAGTAATTTTTTTTTAATGTTTTTATTTATTTCTAGGAGAGAGAGAGACAGCGTGAGCAGGGGAGGGTCAGAGAGAGAGGGAGTCACAGACTGAAACAGGCTCCAGGCTCTGAGCTGGCAGTCAGCACAGAGCCTGACGTGGGGCTCGAACCCACGAACTGCGAGATCATGACCTAAGCGAAAGTCGGACGCTTAACCGACTAAGGCACCCAGGCGCCCCTAAAGTAATTTTTTAAAGGATTTTTTTTTTTAGTTTATTTATTTATTTTGAGAGAGAGCATACATGCTCACATGCAAGCAGGGAAAGGGCAGAGAGAGAGAGAGAGAGAGAGAGAGAATTCTCAGCAGGCTTGGAGCTCGACCTAGGGCTTGAACCCGCAAACTGTGAGATCATGACCTGAGTTGAAATCAAGAGTCAGACGCTTAACTGACTGAGCCACCCAGACTCCTCGTTTTAAAGTAATTTAATTAGGAGGAGGGAAAGATGAATGTGAGGAAAGGTATTCTAGGTGATTAGAAATAACTATTTCAGCTTGTGATTCCAGTTTTCTTACCACTTTCTTAGAGTTACAGGCTGTGGTAAGTGGAGAGCACAGAGTGTGAGGCTAGCTGGTGCTGTGCCTGGGTTCCACAAAGTAATATTGCCTCAGAGGCGACTAACCCCTCCGACTGGGAAACTCAGAAATGAGTAGGTTTATGTAGTAGGATCAAGTCTTAGTACATTGCTGTGTGAAATGGGTACTTTGAGCGGAGGCAGGTATAGGTGGGTTAACAAATTATAGTCAGGTTGCTTGACCAGTGAGGATCAGAGCAAGGAGTGTGATATAGATGGTCTTAATGGCTAATGCCATTAGGCTGTCACTGCCTGATGCTTCTGATACATTTTGGTCACTTTATTAATTTAGTTTTAATGTTTGTTTATTTTTGAGAGAGTGCAAGCAGGGGAGGGGCAGAGAGGGAGACAGAGGATTTCAGCAGGTTCTGCACTGTCAGCAGAGAGCCCAAACTCAAGAACTGTGAGCTCATGGACACTTAAGTGACTGAGCCGTCCAGGCGTGCCACGTTTTGGTCACTTCTTCATTTTGCCTAGCCATCTCTAAAATGACAAATGGATGAGGAAGATGTTGATAATGAATATTTG